GGTGGGGTGAGGGCGAGAGCCTCGGGCGCCGAGTCTGCGGTGGGAAATGAAGAAGGCAGCGGCCTGGGGCCGCAAACTGCTGGTGACTGGGTTTGCTTTGAAGGGAGGCAGAGGTCTGGCGGAGGCGTGGATGCGGCCCCAGGAGTTGCGCTGACCTCCCACGGAATCCACAAGAGCAGGCCCGGAGCCTGGACCTAGGGTGACACAGGCCTAGACCGAGCAGCGTGCCCGGGGCGCGGAGCAGCTGTCCGCCTGCAGGTGCTGATCAGGGGCGAGGAGCTGTCCGCCTGTGGGTGCTGATCAGTGCTGGAGCTGAATTTCCAGTGCACAGCATACACTGAGCAGGCTGGACAGAGGTACTGACAGCAGTGGGCGAAGTTACAGCCTTGAGGTCAGGTTCACTCAATTACAAAAAAGTGCTCCTTAGGCACCAGCTGTGCGTCTGGCTGCACGTGGAGCTGTATGGGAGAGTGAAGGGTTATTGGGGAGTTAGACCAGGTGAGGGTGAGCTAGGGGTGGAGTCGGCCAAGGGCAGATCAGGCTTATGAGCAGGGGGAGATAAAGACAGAGGGGAACAGAGCTAGAGAGACTCTGTGGAGGGAATAATGTGGAAATGGCTAAAGAAAGAGGCTGGCCTTTCAACAGCAAGAGGGCAATGAAATTACCCTCTATTCGAATTATGGGCACTATTTCTTTAAGTTATTTGTGCAGCAAATTATCTCTGAGGAAGGGACAATGCACTTGAGTATAATGCCGGAAAACCACCTGGAAAGGACCACCCCATTGTTTGGGTGCAGAAGATGTAATCATTCAAGTTCAGAGAGAAAGCTTATGGCCACAGGAAGATTGATCATGCCCCCTTTCATGCCTTAATGGCAACATGTATGTTACCTCTACTATGGTGTTTTCCTAAGACTAGTTTACACTTTTAAACTTCCCTCCATGGATACTAAGAGCTGCTGTAGGGCAGAAACACTCTTATCTCTCCTTGAACCCCAAGCTCAAAGCACAGTACTTGCAACACAGCAAACATGTGAATGAGTGAATGACCGACTGAGAGGCATTTGGAGTTCTAGCCAGTGAGGGGCATTGACTCATTATACTGTTTGTTCAAAGTTATGAGCGCTGTTCATAAGGACACTCCGCATTCTGAGGTTCAAGGAGTCTGAACATATTAACCTCTCCCTGTCTCCCCACCAAACTTGACAATCTCCCCAGAATTTACAAAAGGTTTCAGTCCTAATTTCCCTATTTCTTTTTTATCTTGAGTCTTGTCATCAAACAGGTTACCTTGGACATCCACGTAAGTGGCCCACTTAACACCCTTGTTAGTCAGTTATTTGTCTTTTGACCAACTAGTAACTAACAGTTGGTTCCCTCAACTCTACTGATCTCTTCCATCAAGAGCCCCCAGGATTTACCTTCATCTGGAGTTGCACCAACCTTGAAATATTATATTCTTTAACCCTATCTCAGATTCATAACCCTTGACTACCAGGAATGTATTACTCAATATGCAAGGTAAGCATGTGCTTAGGGTATCAAAACAGGGACACCAGTTATCCCATGGCAAACACCCAAAGATGCCAAGTAGACAGGACACTGTGACACTGCAGTGGCAGGGAGCTGGCAGGACACTAAGTGAAACTGATCCCAGCTCCCACACACAAGAATGTGCTGGCTGGGAAATAAACTTGTACAGTGCCACCCGGGTGCCTATGCGCAACAATGTTTAAGCTCCGAGGCCCCGACCACTTCCACACCTTCCTTGATATCTGTCTCCTATGACCTCTTCCCATGTAACTGAAACTCCTTATCTCTTGGGAATATACTATTTCTTTCTAATAAACAAGAGGTAGGGGTGGGCTGTCAAGTCTAACTCTTGCTACATTCACCCAATATGCAACTGGATTTAACAGGAGCTGTTACTGGGCAAGGACAGATTACATTAATAGATAACAGGCCTCTGATCCATTCTGAGAGAATTGTCTTGTACATCCATAACTGCTGACACAGCAGTACCAGCCAGGAGCCAGCAATGTTCTTTGCAGGACACAAAGACAAGGTTGTGCACCTGTGCACGTCCCAAGAAACCGCCACTGGGAACTCTAGTCCCAGATGTGGTGCAATAGGGAGGGAGCTTGAGTGAGTCAACCATTATGGTGAATTTGATCAAGTTATGTTTTAGCTGTATAGCCTATATGTAGTTATATCCTAACCTTTGCAAACAATATTTATGATTCTAACTTTGAAAAGTGTGGCATGCATGTTGATGCAATCTAGCATACATCTAATATAATACTATCATGGGTAATAATTTGATATAACACTAACATAGCAAACATCCAAAAATGCTGGAAATATTAATACGTATTTAACAGGAAGGTTTTTTTTTTCTTTTCCCTTGACATGACGTATTTTCCACACTGTGCAATAAATTACCAATAACAGAGTGGCTTAAACCAACACATGATTATCATCTCACAGTTTCTGGGCACAGCTTAGCCAACTCCTTGACAAGCCTACAAGGTGTTGCAACCAGGGCCAGGGTCTCTTCTGGAGGCTCTGCTGGGAAGGGGCAGGTTTAGAGCTGTCTCAGGTCACTGGCAGAGTCTAGTTCCTTTGGGCTCTGAGACTCATAGCAGCTTGTCTTTCAAAGCCAGCCATAAGAAGTGAGTGAATGAGTGAGAGAAAGGGAGCACCTGTTAGCAACATAAAGTTTTTTTTTTTTTTTTTTTTGGTTGCACTTTTAAAGGTTTAGTTATTCTTCTTAACTTTTTATTGTGATTTGGGTGAAATTTTACACAGCAGATTCATTTTCATTCAACAGTTCATACACATTTGTTTTTAACATGAAAAGTTGTCATCGAGTCTCATTTTTATTTATTTTGTGTAGGACACAATGCTTATTGTTACCCTATATCTACATTAATAAACAAGGAATTTGGCACATTAAAAGGACACAAATTCAACATTTATTTATCATGCAAAATATTTTTCTGTTTGCTAAATTCTTCTAAGAATGCAACAAGGGGCACTTATTAGAACATTACTTTTGTATTTTATCAGAATTTTTTGTATCTCTGTGCAAGGAAATTGAACAATTCCTTGAGGAATTAAATTAAATGAATGTTTAGGTAATAAAAATTGCATACATATATTTTATTTTCCATTTCTTTTCAGACTGACTTTCTTTTAAGAAATTGGTTGATATTGCTATGCCTCACAAAACAAGCTTGTTCATCAAGAAGTGGTGCTACTGTTACTCCAATTATGTGTGCATCTCCAAATATGGGAGTTGAACAATTCCACAAAGAAATAAAATGTACATTTTACAAATGTTGCATATGATAACAATTATGTGTTCCTTTTCATTTTGGACCCATCAGGTACAACCTCACAGTCAATGCTCTCACTGACCACCTAAGAACAGACCAGTGGCACTCTAATCATGTGACCTCTGATGTCTCGTCCTGTCCCACATAAAATGAATCCAAGTGTCTTTAGACTGAACATATCCTTCTATTTGTATTATGCTTTTTGTGATAGCTCTCACCCCACTGAGTACCAGCAGTGTCCAAGGAACAGTGAAGACACAACATCACAGGACAAAAAGTGAGTGTGCAAGTTTTAAAGTTTTATTTCAAGAATCAAAACACTTGTGGAGATCTGTAAAGGCCTGCCAACAAACACCATACGACAAACAAATTAAATTTTTCCCAATTGCCTTCTAAGTGCCTTCCTTGCCTTCTAAGAAATAAGAAGCATTTCTTCTGACTATCTTAGATCTGAAGAATAACATTACATCTTCAAATCAATTTTTTTCACTAATTTTCTCGGCAACCCAAGGAGGGATTGCTATGAGTCGGGACCGACTCAATAGCACATAACAACAACAATTTTCAAATATAAATTTTTGTGTTAATGTCCAAATTCGAATGTAAGCTTTATTCTAATTCATTTGCTATGGTAGAACCAAAATTTAAAAGCAATATAATTTTATATCCACATAAAATGAAACAATAACTACTAAGTGGACTGCATAAACAAAAGCTCATAAAAGGTAACAAGTAAAGGATATGGGAATCTCTAAAGACAATTCCAAAATTAAGTTCCTTTCTAAAACGTATTGAATCAGAAGAGAGTTCTTCCTTGAATGCTCCAGTTTAAAGGGTGCAAATCATTTTACTAATACAGCGAATGTTAAAATTACTAATAGTAATACACATATTGTTTGTTGTTATATGCCATCTAGTCGGACCCGACTAATAGTAACCTCTCCTTGGGTTTCTGAGGCAGTATCACTACGGAAGTAGATTGCCTCATCTTTCTTTTGAGGAGTGGCACATTATTTTTTCCAAATTCTGCATTTACTCTTTGCTGTAGTAAAAAGAAAATAATGGTATAGAAAGTGAAACTATTTTGGAATCTGAAATCGCCACATCTGCAGATCAAATAAATAACAGAATAATTTTTCTTCTAATGATGTAAATTATTGGATCAAAAGGAGGGCCAAGTGATTGCCAACATCATAGTGGATCATTTGAAAATCTGTGTCAAAAATTCTGGATGATAAACAAGCAAGGTC